TCGAACTAGCCAAAATAGAATTTATGACAATACCCTATAGGTAAGATAGTGCATATCAATTGACATTTCAAATCCTTTTTTCTTAATCATAAAAATTTTCAAAATACTTATGCACTTCTTAAAACACTTGCAATCTTCTTTAAGTAAAGCAATTTTAAATTGAAATTTTCTCTTTCAGCCTTCACAACATTCTCAAATTATATAATTCAATGTTTAATATATTAGTCGGAGTACATACGAGTTAAATTCAGCTTATAAATTGAATATAACATTTTGAAATTTTTTCAAAATAAAATAGATTTAAAATTTAGCTCATTTTAGCCCGTGCAACATTTTTGAATTATATATAGGAGCATTAAGCGTGATAGTCAAAGCACATTCAAGAAAATTTTGATGATATGCAAGCCTCTTAGGGCGTTTATACAATGCACTTGCACGAATTACAATGCATTTTCATCGTACTTGTGCTCACATTTTAAGGTACTTCCATGTTAATTATCTAGTAATGCATGCAAATGTCTCAAAATGTACTTAAATTTTATCATTTGCAAGATCTTTTAGGCTCGTACAAGAATTTTTGAGATTTCCGCATGAATTCTAAGATATTAGAATTAAATTAAAAATAGATTTGAGGAATTTACGTTAAGTTCTGAAATAATTTAAAATCTATCGATACATGAATATCTTGTCATTTAGATGTGTGCGGTGTTTCATTTTATGATGTAAATTAACTGTCTTATGTACACTTGCAGGCAAACATTATGGATATGGTGGCAAGTTTGAAGAATTAGAATCTATTAGGCATTGAGGATATTACTGTTTTGTCCTTACATATTAATGTGAGTAGCGTTTAATGATTCCATTTAGGAAACCATTATGCGGCGGTTATTTTTTTGTTGTGTTTAAAAGCAATGTGTGCTAGGGTTATGAAATTCACAATATGTAAGGATGAGCTTTTCAAGCCGAGAGGGAAGGAAGCCATACAGGTAGGCGTTCTCGAAGCTGCATTTGGCGGAGATCGAGGGGCTGCGCCGCAGAGGAAGGCCGACCCACCAGAGGCTGGGCATGCGCCGGCGAGGTCGGACACGAGAGGAAGATCGTGATGCCCTAGATCCCGCGTGCGGGTGAGATACCGAGGACTTCGGGTGGGATGCGGAAGGGAGCGCCGTCGAAGGGAAAAAATTTGTGTGCGATATACCAAGGGTACAAGGGTTACATCCAATATGCCTTTGGCTTTGTAACCTCCCTGTTAACTTACTTACATGTAACATCTTAATATATGATTACAGAAGCATGAAACTTATTTTAAGATACAAATAAGTTACAGAAAGTTACAGGGAGGTTACAGGGTATACCACCGATGTAACCCCCTTGTACCCTCGGTATAACCCCAATATTGCATGCAGCACTGCGCACGTCTATCACACGCAATTTCTTTCCCCGTCAAAGGCTGCAAGCCCGCGAAGAAGCCGTCAGTGAGGGAGCTGCCTCTTGGGGAATCGGGGCGGACGGTTGGTATTTTCGCGAAATACCCCTAAGGCACGAGCGGATCGGGGCTCCTTTTTTTCTCTCAGTCGCGTGAGGTTAGTTTTTTTAAAATAGGATTTTTTTCTTTTTTTTAATTTCATTTTATAATTCCAGTATCTCGATTTTTGTGTTATCCCTCGGCATGAAAGCATAACATAATAAGTGTCCTTTTCATATAAAATTGATGTTTCAGACTCGCTTGAGTAGTTCATTTCATCATCCAGAGTTATTTGGACGAATTCATGGACAATCAGACCAATTTAAGTTTGATTTGCGCACAACGAGGCGAATGATATCTGTTGGCCCAATTAAAGCTGTCTGACAAGTGAAACGCTGAGCGGTCTTTGTCTAAAAAACGACCAAAGTCAAACAGATAGCTCTCAGTAGTAAGATGCTCAACTTGCGTCGAATGTCGGCAAGTTCATGTCAAAAATAACATCAAATTTGGTTCCTTTGAAAATTGATTTTAATTTTGATTATGAGGTGTATATGAATAAATATGAGGCGTGCATTGTGGTGTATGTGTGAGCCTCAATACTAGTACTTTAGGAGAGTTAGTAGAGAAGTCACACGGCTATGTCCTAAGCTCCTAGAGAATAAGATTGACCTCACAAAAAATGAGGTCAACACCGGTCACCCCGACCCGATCAGCATGATCACTTCGGTTCGACCGACTCCGACCCGACCGACCAACAATTTGCATAAGTGCATGTTTTGCATGTGCATCAGCATTTGGTTGTCTGTCTGCTTATTTGATAATGGTTATTTGTATGTGATGCATTTTGAGTGTTCATTCACATACCCATCTCACTTGTGCATGGTTCTCCCTAGTGAGAATCATCACCTTTTTTGGGTCGCTTCCTCTTCAATATACACATCTCAGGCCGCTATATTTCTGACATGCTCACCTTTTTGAGTTATTGCCTCCTCAGTATTCTCATCTCGACCGCTTCCTTTACGGCATGCCAACCTTTCTGGGTCACTGCTTTCTCGGCATACCCATTTCGGGTGCTACCTTCATGACATGCCCACCCCATCGGGTCACTGCCTTCTTGACATAACCACCCCCGACCACGGCCTCCACGACATGCCCACCCCTTCGGGTCACTGTCTTCTCGATATACCCACCTGAGACACTAACTCCACGACATGCCCAACCTTACCTGTCACTGCCTCCTCGACATGCCAATCTCGAGTCGCTGCCTCCATGCATGTCAATCCTTTCGGGTCACTGCCTTTAAGACATACTCATATTGGGACACTGCCTTCACGGTATGTCCACCATTTTGGGTCAATGCCACATCGACATAGCCATATAATGTTGTTGCCTCCACCACATGCACACCTTTTCGAGTCACTGCCTCCACGACCTACCTGTTTCCCAAACTGTACCTCCATGACATGTTCAACTTTTTCTGACTCACTACCTCCATGACATACTTGTCACTTCTATTATATGATTGTTTGCATTTGTATTTGCATGTTTGGATGGATAGTGAGTTAGACTCTTCAAAAGAGTAACCTCTATGTCGGTCGCGATGTCTTAAAGAGCATTGCTTACCAGGTTAATCCCGGTAAGTAATGCAAGCTAAATCTTTGGAATTTACACGAGCATGACTATGTTAAGGATCCAAGGGATCTAACTCAAGTCACATTGCATGTTACAGGTCTGTATTTAATGAAAATTATGCATGTAGCAAACTATGTCATATATAATGCCAATTTTTTAAAAATTCATCATGGGT